AGCGGAGGCCTGCCTGGAGGGGCTTCGAGGAGACCGGGATGGCTCCCTGGTAGCCCTTGCAGGGAAGACGGCGTGGGGCAGGCAGTTGGACCCGGAGCAGCGCCCCTTGTGTGGCTGAGAGGGAGGAAAACCTCTCTCTCTCTCTCTCTCTTACACAAAGACACACACACACACACACAGACACACACACCCGGTCCGGTCCGGTCCTTTGCCCCCGTCCCAGGTGAGCGTGTTGCGATGCTCGCCGGCCACCCTTTGGCGTCTCTCACGGCCCGGGGGCCAAGCGCTGCAGGAACCCCAGCCTTTCCTCCTCCGGAAACGGCGGCCCCTCCTCCACACAGGCACCCCCGCCCGGTCCCGCCTCGCCCCGTCGAGTGGACGATCCTTTGCCATGAAGCTAAGCCGGGGACGGAGCGAGGACGAGGATCCCCAGGGCGCTTCGGTGCGCCAGCCCCTGTCCCGGGGAAACCTCGTTGGTTCTTGTCCTGAGAGTCTTCCCAGAACTTGTTCTCCCACCGTCTAAGAGCCACTTGTGGCCATCTGTGAACAGAGCAGTTTGTGACAATACGAGAGAAAACCCCAATAGCCGGAACTAAAGCTTGCGTTTCCACCGTAAAACTCAACTGAACTGTCCGGAGATGGCACCACGACCGTCAGTAGCAGCCATATTCAGGGGAGATTCCTAAGATACCAATTGGCAATGGGAAATAAACAGGCTTTTACTATCTGTAAGAGTGACGACTATCAGTTTTCAGTTGCAGCAGGTTCTCCCAAAGTGGGGCCACCGCTGAAAGGCCCATATGCCTGTCGTGCCAGACACTCCGAGGGTTTTCCTGGCTGGGGTTCGCAAGCCAGGCCTTGAAGGCAGCTCTCCGTAGGTAGGCTTCTAGGAACCTGATCGTGGGCTCTTCGGGTCTGATACGTGTAGGTGGGTGTTGCCTGCCTCACCTCACCTAAACAGTCAGTTCTTGCTGAGGATGTGTCGGGCGTACCGGAGGGCACAGGAAGTGAAGCCAGCGCTCCGCTTCAGCCTCTGGAAAGAATTAAATGGCCCTAAAGATAGTCACTGCCCCTTGGAGCGGTCTCCAGGTCCATGGGTCCCCTCCATGGGCAAGCAGGGGTGGCCTCAAGGGCTGGCCAATGGGAGGGCCGCCAACCCTCCCAGCAGCCTCTGGCGGGCCGCGGAGGGGAAGGGGGGCCCTGTGCTGGGTATGCCCTCTTCACCTGGGGCATCCTCAGAACCTTTCAGCACTGCTATGGCATCCACAGCTCTTTCTGTCTATTTATTTATTTATTTAACTTGTATGCTGCCCACATTACCCAAAGGTCTCTGGGTAGCTTACAACAAAAGCTTACTGCACGTCATGAGGGAGGGGTCAAGATTCAGTAGAATTCCCAGGATGGTTTATAGGATAGTCACAACTCAAGATGAAAAGGACAAATGGGAATTCAAAGCCTTAAACCAAACTGTTTGTCCCAACTAGAGCAGACCCACTGAATTAACGAAACTCACATAACTGCTGACTTACCAACTTCCCACTGATTCAGTAGCTGAAATCCGGTTGCTTCAACTTGTGCCATATAAGGCTGATGGCATCATCAACGATGGCAGATTTTCAGAAAATCCCTCTTTTGAATGAGAGAGAGAGAGAGAGAGAGAAGTACAGCCTCTTGCTCAGTGGGGGCAACATGGGCTGGTGTTGCCAGAGAAGGAGAGGCACCTCTCGTCTGCAGCCTCTCTTGGCGAGTGCTAAGGAAGCCATGGTTCTGCCCAGGCCACCTGTCTGTCTGTCTGTTTGTCTTCCCTTTGAAGGGGCTGACCTGCAGAGGGAGGTTGGTTGGAGGGCCTCCTTAGAGGATCTCACTTGGGTTAAGTCCTTATCTCAGTCTAATTCCAAGTTGCCTGAGGAACAGACAAGAACTGGGGTCACCCACAGTCCCTCCAGTGCGTGAATTTATCTATGGACAGAGCAGGCAGGCAGGCCCCGCTGTGTCTTCTGAGAGCTCAGCAAACTGGCAGACATTGACACCTGGCGCGTACGATGGGAGCATCATTCTTTACATGCTTCTTCCATGTCTGGACACCTGATGCAGATACTGAGCACGCGGTGAGAATAATAAGCTGGTTTGTCCTCACCCAAATTCATCCCTTGGGTGCATCGGGGCAGCAGTGGGGTGGGGACGTTGCCCTTTGCCGAAACTGGTGTGGGGAGAGGCTGCTGCAAAGCTTGCAGGGTGTGGGGCAGGGCAGGCTGCTGCTGCCTCTCTGCCGGGGTGGAGGTGGAGGTGGTGCTGCTGCTTGTTGCTTGTTGCTTCTAGTGTTGCCAAGGGAGGGTTTTCTGGCCCAACCTCTGCGCTCATTCCGATGCGCCCCCCCACCTTCTTTTCTCCTCCTGTCCTCGGTCGTCCATCAGGTGTGATAGCGTTTGCCCCCCCCACTCGCTTCAGAGCTGGCAACCCCCCAGAGTTCCCGGTAGGTGAAGTCATTGCCCAGGGAAGCGTCAGCCTCTGGCGTGGCTGGCGCAGAGCGACCCCCTTCATCCCCTTGCACTGGCATTGCTGCCAGCTGCGTCATTCAGGTGCCACCCTCATACACGTCTGCAGCCTTCCCCCCCCCCCCCCCCNNNAGATGAATGAATGAGAGTAACTGGGGTGGGGGACTTGGCTGCCAGCATCACTTGAGTTCCTGAGGAAGGAGAGCGGGAAGCCACCCGGCCCACATGATGACGGCAGACCGCGGTGTGCCCAGCGCTCTGTCCAAGGGAGGGGGATCCCTCAAGCCTCTTTGGGACTGAGTCTCCCACCCAGGCAGAATTGGGGGGGGGCATTGCATGGGCACACACACCGGATACCCTGGAGGGAGATGTGCTGGCTGGGGAGCGGGAGACTGGCGGGCTTGTCTTTGGCCTCTTCTTTAGTTTCTGGCACCCTCCCTTTTGAGGGTTTTGTGCAGAACCTTCTTCTTGCCGGGGGGGTGGGGGGTGGGGAGAGACTTGTCCTGATTCTCTCTGGTGGGGTTTCTTACCAGTCCTAACGGGGACTCCCACCATCTTCTGCAGAGCGTCAGATTTGCACCTGAACTCAGGAGATCTCCCACGAGCCAGAGGCTGCCCTGTTGTTGGCTGCAGACGGGACTGGTGAGGCAGGGGCACACACACACACACACACACACACACACACACACACACACACACACACACGTGTACACTCATCACCCTGTGCCCTTAGGATGGGCAGGAACTGGGTCCGAGTGGGGTGGTGGGAACTGGGAGGAAAGGGCTTTCGGGGTGTGAGCCTTAAGCAGAGATCAAAACGGTGCTGCCTTTTGCCTTTCCTGCTGCCTCTTCCCTTCAAGGCAGGGGGAGCCCCAAAGCGGCCTCCAAACAAAGGGGGCCTCTCTAGTCCAGCATCGTCTTCTCCCGGCAGCTGGCCTCAGGGCACCCCTCAGCAACCGGTACCTGAAGCAGCACTTGCTCGGATTCCTTGTTTTCTGGGCCGTCAGATCTCTTTTGTTTTATGGTGACCCTATGAATGAGTGACTTCCAGAAGGTCTCGTTCTTAGCTACTCTGCTCATGTCTTGCAAACTCAAGACTGTAGTTCCTGTATTGAGCTGGTCCATCTCATATTTGGTCTTCCTCTTTTCCTACTTCCTTCAGCTTTTCCCAGCATTATTGTCTTTTCCATCAAGTGTTGCCAAACTATGACAGTCTCCGTTTCGGCATTTTTACTTGCAGAGAGAGTTCAGGCTTGATTTCATCTAGGACCCACTTGTTCATTTTTCTGGCAGTTCGGGGTATCCACAAAGCTCTTGTCCAGGACCACACTTCAAATAAAGCATTTTTTTCCCTGTTGGCTTTCTTAACTGTAACACACCCGTACATGGTAAGTAGAAAAACCAAGATCATCCATAAAGCGTATGGATGATCTTGGTCTTGGTCTCCTTACATCTCCTTACATTTCATGATCTTTTCCAACTCTTTCACTGCTGCCCTTCCTGGTATCAGCCTTCTTCAGATTTCTTCGTTGCAGTTTCCATCTGGATTCATGTTTGAACTAAAGTACAGAAAATCTGTAACTATTTCAGTTTCTTTACTGTTGGCATTAAAGTCGTGTAGTTCTTCTGTAGTCATGATTTTGGTCTTCTTCATGTTCAACTGCAGTCCTGCTTTGGCACTTTCTTCTCTCAGTTTCTCTAAAAGTTGTTTCAAGTCACAACTTATTTTCTTCCAGTTAGATGGTGTCATATGCATATCTTAAATTACTGAAGTTTCTTCCACCAGTTTTCACTCCTCCTTCATCTGAATGTAGTCTGGCTTTCTGTATGATATGTTCTGTGTACCAATTGAACAGATTAGGGGATAAAATGCACCCTTGTCTGAACGCCTTGGCTGGCAGGAAACCTTTCTGTCTCCATATTCTGTCCTAATACTAGTAGTTTGTTGTTCAGAGTTATACATCAAAGCAATCAAGTGCTGACTATTAGCCGTTCACCACAGGTTAATTTGATGAGTTTTCCTTTAAAGTCATTCAATGTGGGTGATCACGGAACAACGGAAGGCTAATTGCCTTAGAGGGAGAACAGAGGAGTCAACAGCGGGCATCCAACCCAGCAGAGCCTACTGGCAACGCCCTGAGAGCTCTTTTATTGACTTAGCATGATTTACATAGTATGTTGTGAGTGAGACAGATAGGATACTAGCTGCCTAATTGTTATTAGGATTGGCTAAAATAACCCTTTGATCTTATGCTCTGCCTCTAAGGGAAAGGGCAGAAGAAGGGGTTACGCCACCTGCTGGCAGCCAGGAGTGTATGTATGTCACTGGAACAGAAAGCGGCTACAACCTTCAAGCAGAAGTTTCCCACAAGTTGGAGGCCACCCCTACATCTTGTGGCAGGCCATTCCAGAGTTTCACTTTGCTTAGGCTGGATAACTCCCAATGTATCCCCAGGAGAATGGCCTCTTTGGGCTTTGATCTTCATCAAGCCCATCCTGTTAACTCGTGTGATAGCCCATTATCAGCTGACAGGTGAAAGGCCTCTAGCTGGCCAGCCTCCAGAGGCATGTCTGCGACTGGAGCCTGGAGGTGGGCTCGTCAAAAAGAAAGCTGCCTGTTCATATAGGAGGCTGTTTGGTCCGAGGGGGAGCCTTCCCTGGACAGCCAGAGGCACTGAAGCGCCTCAGGAATCACCTCGTGCCAGGGCTTAACGGTGGAGGGAGGATCATCTGACATCCCACCTCCCTAAGCCAGAGTTTGCTGCGGCCTCCAGTGCCCAAACTCTGGATTCCAGGTGTTGCTGTGAAAATGGAGCTGGGGGGCCGAGTGTCCTTTGGGTCTCAGCCTGGCTGTCTCAGGTGAGCGAAGGCCAGGATTTGCCAGTTCAGGATGGCAGAGGCAGCGAGCGAGCGAGCGAGCAAACTGCAGCACGGGAGGGAAGCCCTGCACGGCACGCCTGGGACAGAAGCGCCCCCAGATCCAGCTGTTGGCCAGCTGTTTCCTTTCTCAGGCACGTGCGCTCCTGGATTCACATCAGTTCAAGGGTTGTTTTTCGGCAGGGACTTTGGTGGGTGCTGGAGACGTCATCTCACAGCAGGTGGTGGAGAGGCGGGGGCTCGCTGGACATAGTGGGCGCCGGACTCTGAAGATGATGGCCATCGGCTTTTGCTTTGTGGTGAGCGGGGGGGAGGGGGACCAACCTGAGCAGCCTGGACCAGTCCTGGCCCTCTCCTTGGGGCTGGCGTGGCCTCTGTCCTTTGGAAGGTTCTGGCCTCCCCAGTATGCCTGGGCACAAGCATGCCTGGAGGCAAGAAAACTGGGGGGGGGGCTCCCCTTGTCCAAGTGTAATCCCATCTGTTTCCTACCCTTCCTTCGTCCCCTGCAGGGCCCAGTCATTGGAGGATGGTACCAGGTGCTGGACCACCTGGTGCCTGGCAGGACTCGGGCGGCTGCGCTCCAGAAGATGCTGCTTGACCAGGTCAGAGAGATCCCAGGGGTGGGGGTGGAGATGCCTGGAGGCTCCCACAGGCTGTGGTGGGTCTGGCCAAGCCCTTGAC